GCTAACAGGATTTGGAAATATGGACTATTGGATTCCACCGACCCAGTCGCTACCTCAATGGTAAGGTGCTGGACACGGAACCTGAAGGTCACGGGTTCCATCCCTGGTGGGATGGGGGTAAGGTCGTAGGTGCGCACTGCTGAAAAGTATCATATTAGTCGGACGAAACAACTGTCCAGTCTTCCCAGGCTTCCTTTCTTCCCTCCAACTCATATCAGTCTACGATGAATAACAACTTGAAATAATCCTATCGATTCGCTGGCTAATCCACCATCTCTCTCTCTATCTGTCTGTCTATTCAAATGTAGACCTGATAACATAAACTATATTTTCATTCGTCGGTTTCCACACTAGTCATTTCTCTCTATCACCATATCATAATCGCTTGTTCACTTCCTGACTTAGAAACCATCGACTCACTCTAATTCCCTAGTTAAAAGAGATCCAATAACTATTCAATCAAATTAACATCCTCTCTCACATGCCCGTTCACTCATTATATATACATACATATTTCCAAATAATTAGGAAACTCAAGAAGCAGACAATTACACTAACTAAGATCATTAGTATAATGAAACAAACAATCACATACACACAAACTATGCCAAGGAAGGCAAAAACATACTTTTAATGTCACCTTCAAATAACGAATTGTTAGACAGACAGGAGTAAGATGAAGGTCAACAGACCACTTAACAAAATTTCAACCAATGGAAATTAAAACCACCGGTCCCTTTGATAAATTTAAACAGCGTAATGAGAAGACGAAGATTATCTGAAACATGTTGTGATGTATTAGCGCTATACATTTCGAACAATCTGATCACACATGGACTTGTCGAACTATTTATATGGAGATTTACGAAAAGGTCAATGAAGTTAATGGGAAACATAGGAATAGGAGGGGATAGAAAAGGAAAAGGAAAACCTTATTCTTGGTATGAAAATTAAAATCAATACTACCAAGGTAGGTTCAAGGTGAGTACAAATTGTTTTTGCATACATAAAGGGGGTTTAAATTTACGGATGGCAAGAGCTTCAATAAATTTAAGCACTCGGCTCTGACCACTTTTATGTAGTACTTTAAAGGCTGTTTTCATGTCTATCCTATGGTTAGTTTCTAGTATATGTTTAGCGATAGACGAAGATGGATGTTTGTCACCTGCACTTATCGGATCTGTTGAGGTCATTTGTTTTTGTAGCCACTTAGGTACATGTTCAGCCTTCCTTAACTGCATATCACGATTACTCCTCCCTATATATGTGTGTCCACACATACATGTAAATTGATAAACACAGTGGGATGTGATGTAATCGTTTATATGTTGTTTCAGTTTGTACTGTAACATGGACTTGGTCTTCTCTTCATTGATGACCTTAGCTGCATAATACGTTTTACAGATGGCCGATCTAAGTCTTTTCCTCACAACAAAGCTATGTGAATCACCTCTAAATGGTAATGAGATGTAGACATTTTTCTTAGCAACAGAACACTGTATACTTTTCAATGGTACATAACTTTTGCACCGGTCGATAAATCTCAACGGGTATCCATTCTGTATCAGAGTTGTCGTCAGTAAGTTGGCTTCTTCCTCCCTGGTGTCATCGGTGCAGATACGGTTTATCCCGTTGAATAAGCATCTGACTAAACCACGTTTGTATTGGACTGGACAATAGCTATGGAAATTAAGATATTGCCCTGTCCATGTAGGTTTCTTATAGATCGACCTCCTGATCGAGCCATCCTTCCTTCGACTGAGCAATACGTCTAGGAACGGTAGCTGGTTGTTCGTCTCTTCTTCACAAGTCAGGCTAATGTGATTATGAGCCGTGTTCATTTTCTGTAGCAGGCACATTGCATCATCAGGCTTTTCACATATAATGACTATATCATCAACATATCTCTTATAAAGTGAAACCCTTCCGATGAGATCGTCAGCCATGTTTTCAACATATGACATGTATACATCAGCTAGCAACGGTCCTAATGGACTGCCCATCACGACACCATCAATCTGTTGAAAGTGTTCACCCTCGAAGGTGAATTCAACTTTATCAGTGCATAATAACAATAAATCTTTCAAAAAATTAATAGGGATAGGGAATATAAGACTGTTAGAAGAAATATAATCACATAAAATATCAATTGTTTTTACTAGAGGTACATTAGTAAATAAAGAATTTACATCGAACGAGTACATAGTCTTATCCTTGATATTAATATCATTTAAACAGTCAATCAGGTCAAATGTATCTTTCAATGAGGACTTACATAAATGGCTTCTGACAGGGTTCAAGAGCTTTGCCAACCATTTGGCTAGATTATGTGTGGGTGATCGACACATAGACAATATTGGACGCAGTGGGTTGTCAGGCTTATGAGTTTTAAGTAACCCATATAGATGTGGATGTTCAGATCCCATAGGTTTTAGACGATTAAATTCCTCCTTATTGATTAAATTCATACCAAGCATTTTCACAAGTTTAGAATTTACTCTGCCTTCCAATTTACGTATCCCCTCACAGGGGGCATCTGACGTAAATTTGGAGGTAGGTGGCTATTTGATCGGTGTTGCTGAAGCATACTCGATCAGCCTTCTGATGCTCACCATCACTCCAGGTTAGGAGTCGACCAATTCTCCTCAATTTATGAGACACTATTCTTTGTTATTCATGACCTCCAGAATGAAAGTTATTCAGGAAAGAAATTGTTTGGTACAATTTTCCTCGGGATATTCTTCAGGTAGTCATAAGTCACGTCTTTCAACATAACTTCTTTCACATACTGCAAAACGCGGTCCGGTTCAGACCCCACAGTAAGCATTGGTTTCACAACCTTCAGTTGGTCCTCCGTTAGGTGTCTACACCAAGCGTCTTTCACTAGATAATTCATATCGCATGGATGGTTGTAGACCATCTTGACGCTTGAAAAAATAAAACGATTTACCGCAAACGTATTCGAATTCTAGCCTGGCAACCAATATACTTCGATCTAAAATCCCACTCTTCACAAATTCTTAGATTACCCCTTAATTTGCTGTTAAGTGCCTTCTAACTTCTTCCTATTACCGAAAATGCATGCCAATACAACGTTAAGACACTTTAAATTAGCATCTCCCTTATAACGATTGCATTCGATGACAACGTAATATGTACTCGTCATCCAAACATTGAGTTAAGTGACTTCTTAGCATACTTTCTGAAAGGTATTTATCACTTCTTCGACTTGACACTAGATATTAAAATTTCTGGGTCGTTTAACCTCCTCAAGTACAGCATTAATATCCACACATCTTGGTCTAGCCAGGTTAGCACTGCTCGTAGAGGATTGCTGAGAATTCTATGAGGCTGTGAAAATGAATAGGTGAAGCATTCTTCTTAGCAGACTTTCAGCTGAAGGATACTAAACAACAACGGAACGTGTTAACATTTGCATCAACTTCCTAGACAACTGGATAGAGACTGTAAACGTTGAAGTAATTAGGGGATCAAGGGCAGCACAGGTAGCATCACGACATTTTTAACGGTTAACCAACTTCTAACACAACAAGAACAACATGATGCGGTTAAACTTACATTAGCCCCTATTAACACAACATGAAGAAATAACTTTCAAAAACAAATATGCAAAAAACAGGCATTTTGTAACTGACCTGTGTTCACAAACACCTCAAACAATAAAAGCATTAAACGAAACAGGTAACCAACGAAAATAATATCACACACGGGGCATAAGTGAGTAAAATTCATCAGATACGAACGTCAACCTACAAAGTAAGTGAAGTTGCGAATGTCAGCAACTGGTTCACTTTCTACCGTTAGACGAGGCATCAACTCACGCTCCAGTTATGCAGTGACTATTTGTCTTTGAGGGGTGAAAAACGTGTACCAAACATTCTCCAAATTTTTCCTAGGGTATTCACAACTTTTTATATTTTGTCAGTATTTTCACCTAATACAACTATGTCATCCGTATACGCTAAGCTTACTTAAGAGTGTTCTGTAACAAAATCAGTCCACAGGTAAACAGGGACAAATATACAAATATACAAAACATTAGAATCTTCAAGGTTTACATAGAGCAACGGCTCAGATGAATTTCTCTTGTCACTCAAAGCCGTCAACTATCAATATCAATTAACTTGTAAACTCAGATCACGAAGGAGATATTTCTTCAACTGCCGAAGACAAAACGCGGATACGTTCATCGGCTGATATCACATCTTAGTATCGTGGTTCTCGATCTTTTTCAAATCCAATCGTATTCCAGTTAACAGTACAAGTTAAACTAAGTTTTATACCGGCACCCACCTACCTGTAACTTAGCAATGAACTTGCCTTCTTTACATCACACTTTATACCTAAATTCTATATTCCTCACATGATGATCCCGTCACACTTAAACGATATTATAAAGTCAGTGGTCGTCAATTACTTAAAGCAGTAGAAAATTACTCATTCTCGATAGTCATGTTATATAGAGAATTGCTATCTAGTGAACTTTATCCTTAACATGTTCGCACCCTAGAAATTCTCCCGTTGTTCACAGTACTGACAATCTCTTAACTTCAGTAGGGATGGGGGAGGCAGTTCGATATCAATAACCTATTCACAAAACAACAGAATACTAGGCAGTTGAAGAGTAGCTGCTATCCAATTCAGTTGTTTCTAAAAACATTCTTCTTCTTTTTTATCCACCCTATAAATGAGTACCTCTTCTTCAAACTACCTTTTCCCACAATCATAAACTTCATTGCCTTCATATTGTAATTATTGTACACACAAATTAGTATCAACAAGTAATAACATCTAATTATGATGTAACGCATGCATTTGGTTATTAATCAATACTCCTTCACGAACACAATACGCCTTTTCTACTAGGAATTGTTTCAGTGATAGAACAGTAAATCTTTTAAATAGATCTGTACAGTATATTAAAATAAATTGTAATAAAGACACAATTCTGTCAATTATTAAAAGGAACCGTTAATATTAGTAGATAATACTATATCACAAAACCTTGAGAATATATGCACACAAACAGTCATTTTTCTTATTTTAGGTTGAGTCCACTTCGTCGTAGTTAACAGTTGTGAGAATGCCCAAGGTTGAGGATGCTATCAACCTTCATCAACTCGCCAGTATCGAGGCATCCTCATAGGAGTCAAAAGAGGTCGAGCAATTCAACCACGTACAGCAACGGGAAACGAAAAGTATCAAACAACAACAAACGATACCCGTTGAACATGTGCTGACTTTCGTGTCCCAGCGACCCAATGGATAACATCTTGACGTTTGGAGTGATGGGCACTGGGTCCGAGTCTCAATGAGAACAACATTCTCACTAGGATCCACACACATAGAGCTGATAACTCTTCAATTGCACGAAAAGTACATCCAGGATTCCATTGCGAGTCACTAAGATGAATACAAATCCATCAAACTAGTTAGCTTGAATGTGTTATGCATGCCAAGTCACAGCCTACCTAACGGTAGAATGTTATTTCAATCACAATCACCCTAAAAAAATGAAGTAGGGTCAGGTGAAAAGTTAATGTCAGTCCACAAAGTTGCTGACTGCTACTCTCACCTGAGAGCTGCAGTGTGACCGACCTGGCTTCAATCCACAAAATGTCAGCAGTCAGCGATATCCTTCACGAAATGATACAAAATCACGTTGCTGTAGATGTATTCAGTCATCATTGACGAAAATTTCAAAATATTATCATCATTTTGTACTGTTTCAAAATCCAGCAACTTCAAATCATCCACTTCTATGCAAAATTCCATCTTATCCATCAGTCAGACAGAGTTCTTTAGATATAAATATTGAATAAATCAAAGCAATGTGACACATTTAAATCCAGTACATGTTTATATACCAAGCTATGAGCCAAACTTGGTGTGTATGCAGGCTTATGACATTATTCAATAGCCTAGGCTCAAGTAAGTCGGGCCAGGATCAAACCTGCAACCCACTGCTTGAAAGTCAGGTTCCCAAGCCAATGAACTAGATCTCCAACAAATGAATCCAAGCTGGATACAGGAAGTGGGAAAAGTCTTCTTTTGAAAACCATAGGGGAATTAGTAAAAGATTTCATCAACTGATGCCGCATCTTGGCATGGCCACCCTGAACCCCCCTTCCAACTTAATCCAACTTCCCCTGTTCATTTGAGTTGTGTGGGCAGATACATACTGCCTGATTAGGGCCCTCGAAACAAAGGCAATCGGTGTTTGAGGACTCTCGGTGGTATACCTGAAAATCAGTCACAAATGCGCACATCTATTCACTCCCTCACGTCTTATTTAACTTCAAGATTCACACCAACCGTTGTTCTCGAACACTATCGTGATATCACCTTCTTGTTATACATCTGTGTGCGAGATTCCATGTCGACGTCCTCATTCAAGCACCCAGTCAAATATGCAATAAACCGACAGCAAACGTTGTTCAATTGAAAAATTCTGCAAACACATTTTACTCTATCAGACTATTAACATCTGCATTTGTTGTGTGGTAACATATACCACTTCATTAGTAGCCACACAACATTTCTATATCCAAATAAACCAACTTTTTATAATTGATTTTGTCTGCGGTTAGACTTGAAAGTTACACCACGCACTTCAGTAGGTGAAACTACACCCAACCAGCCGACATTATTTCGACCAAAACACTTCTGAATGATCAGGATGATTTAAACATCACCCTACCCACGAGTACGGACAGAACTACATCAGGTTTCCAGGTCTCTTTCATATATCAGCTTATTGCAAACCTCAGTATTTACCTAAATAGGGAATACAGTCACCAGAACCGCTACTTTCCACTTCCAATCGCGTCAATCAGATACTCAAAGCCTAAACTCTGAATCACAAGTTGTCAAAACTATCACATCATAAAACAGCGTGAAATGTCTCTTCGTAAGCAGACTAAGAAGAACAGATCCTAGAAACAGACTTCGCTTAAACAGTTTACACATACAACATTAGTCCAATAGGACAGGAAACTAATGGCATCACCAAAAATAACAACCTGGAATTCATAGCTCACTTTTCAATAGTTAACATTAAACATGATTAGTCTCACTAAATCGTCCAAAACTAGTCCGACATTTCAGAAACAATGCCCATCGAATATAAAATATATGAAACACATCCTGCATTCATTAAACTAGCAACCTATAACTAGCTATAGCTTGTCACCTTAACATTGACACTACCTAGACGCAAGAAATTAACTTAACCTTAATTCTGCGCCTCCTTACTTCACTTAGTCAGAGGAAATTTAAGCGATTCCTAGATTCGTAGGTAAAAAATACTTCAACCGAAAATGTCATAACAAAACACCAATGCCTACGGCCATGACGTAAGAAAAATTATTACACTAACCAAACAACGTACCAAATTCTTTTACGCTAGTCCCATCGAAGAATGAAGCTTAAATCATGACATAATAACACGCCTACAAACACAAATCATCTAGACGCAGGAGTGTTCTGCAGCTGAGTGACACATTAATCGAATTCAAATAAGAAGGAAATGAGAATACATTAATTCCATGGCATTAGGAACAGTCCAACATCCAATAGTAAACACAAGACTACAAACGATACACTTCCAATATCCAATATTGATAGTGCGAGGGTAGAAAACTGGTAGTTTTGATCTCTCGCGTCTAGTTCTTAGGGCTTGGTTCGAGTTGCTCGGTTTACTCTTGCAGTGCACGAGGAAACCATCTCTGCTTTCTTGCTTTTAGCTTCGGTGAGGTGGATGTTTTGTGTGTTAGTAAGTTCCAATTTGTAGAGTGATTGGGGAGCTACGGGTTGCTGGGAAGTTTAGGGAACTGCCGTGACTACTGTCTGTGTAGGCTTCGCAAACAGAACAGTAAGGTAGTGGTAAAAGAACGAAGAGAAAGGGAAAAAGAGAAGAAAGGGGAAAAAAATAAGTAATCCTAAGTATAAGGGAAGAGAAAAGGGAACGAAATGAAAAGGAGGGGTGAAAAAGAGAAATAAGATCTCAAGAAAAGTATTTGGGAATTGCGCGAATGGTCGCGTGAGGCTGCTTCCTACACAAGAATTGGTACGTAATGTGGGTGTGTTAAGGAGGGAGATAGTGAGTGGTAGTTAGGAGGGAGTTGTGGGCTAGCGAGGTTTGTGACTACCTGAGTACGTCTGTGGTAGTCCATGCGAGGTGACATAACTGTCTAGTCGTCTTTTGAATGAGTCGACTGAGGGAGCTATAACGATATGTCGCAGTAAGGCATTCCATAAAGCACATACTCTTAGGGAGAAAAATTTGGACCTGAGTATGGTGTTGGCTCTCTGGTGTGCTATCTTAATGGGGTTTGCTCGTGAAGATGGTTGAGTTGCAGGCAAAATTGATTTGTTTGCATGGTCTGCCTGATGGGCGATCTTGTATGCCATAATAAGGTCACCCGTTTTCCTGCGATAACCCAAGGTAAATAGGTTTAGGTGTTTAAGTCTTTCAGGATACGTCTTTCCTCTTAGCCCCACAACAGATTTTGTTGCAGTTCTTTGTATTCTTTCAAGGAGATTAGAGTCTGTCTTGAGTGTTGGAGGAGCCACCGTATTGAAGACCTCTAGATGCGGCCGCACGTAGGATTTGAAAATGGTGAGGAAGAGTTCGGGAGTGAGGGCACCAAGCTGTCTACGCAGAAAGTGTAGAATGGCGTTCACTCTGGTTGTCACACCTTTGTAGTTGGAGCTGGTGTCCAAGGTGTCGGAGAAGTTGAGCCCCAAATCTTTCTCCATGGACACTCTGGTGATAGCACGGTTGCTCAACATGTACTGGAAGTCGGTCGTACTTGCTTCATTTTTACTGATGTGCATTACTTTGCACTTTTCCAGGTTGAAGCTCAGGCCATTTTCCGACGACCAGAGCTCGAGTTGCTGCAAGTCCTTTTGTAGTGCTGTACAATCAGCTTCTTCGTTTACCACCCTCCAAATTTTTATGTCGTCAGCGAAGAGGAGGATGGGTGAGGATATTTTATCTGGCAGATCGTTGACAAACAGGAGGAACAGAAGCGGTCCTAGGATTGCTCCTTGGGATACTCCTGACGTCGAGGGTCTCCACTCCGACCTTATTCTGTTTACTTTAGTGCAGAACTGCTTCCCTTCCAGGTACTCCTTGAACCAAGAGAGTAGGGGTTCACTTATACCAGCTGACATGATCTTGTGAAGCAGTACTGTGGGTGGGAGACTGTCAAATGCTTTGGCTAGGTCGAGAAATACAACATGTACCGGTTTTCTGTTATCCCAGCTTTGTGTCCAGTCGTCCCAGACGGTTAGTAAGTTGGTGACACATGAGCGACCACTCCGAAAGCCATGCTGAGCAGTATGGACAGTGTTTTCCCTATTGAGGAATACCCAGATAGTGTCAGCTACCAGGCTTTCCAACACTTTCGACACAATAGTGAGTAGAGCAATTGGCCTGTAGTTGCCAGGGCTTTTTTTCTGTCTCCTCCTTTGAAGATGGGTGACAAGATGGCGGGCCCTCTTCCATTCTCTGAGGAGTTTGCATGAGTCTATTGAGTGCTCAAAGAGGTTGCGAAATGGTTTAATAAGCACCTCGGCGCAGTTTTTCAGAACCACTGGTTTTAGGTTATCGCAGCCAGGGGACTTGCCTGGACGTAGCCTAGATAGTTTCTCGAACACTTTTTTCTCTCTAATAGAGACGTGACAGAGGTATTCATTATTTACGACCTGGTCGGTGTCGTAGCGAGTCGGTGTGGATCTTGTGTCAGTGCTAAGTTGGGCTTGGAAGTGTGAGCTCAAAAGCTCGGCAATCTCTAGACTGCCTAGTATACTCCCATCATGGCCTGTGATAAGATTCACTCCCTTACTGGTCGACTTTCTTCTCGACATGAAGCGGTACAAGTTTTTGGGATTGCTTTGTAACCTCTCCGCCAAGTTTGTTTGATAGGCAAATCTGTTGCCAAGTACTCTAATGTTACAGTGGTTGCGAATCCTTTTGTAGTTCAAGAAGTCAGACTCCCTGTGTGATGTACGCCACTTGAACCAAGCCTACTTCTTGCTCTGGATAAGCCTCTCTGTCCCACGCTTTAACCATGGGGTTCTCATTGATTGTCTGTGTGTTACTTCTGGTACACTGTGACTGATGGCCGATGGCCCCAGTGATTATTTTCTTCACCTCCAACCAGTGTTCATCTATTGTGAGATGAACCCAATCTACTGGCCATGATGCATTCATGAGATAGTCCCTCATGGTCTCATAGTTGGCCTTGCAAATTACGATTCCGTAGTCATTGCCGGCGACTTCAACACCCCGTCCATCCTCTTCGAGACGGAAGGGAGACGCATCAGATCCTTCAATAAGAAGCTGAAGAATGCAGTTAAGACTGCTGGCCTCTCAGAGAAAGTGAGTGATGCCACAC